TATATATTTATTTATTTGAAATGTCATTGAGATCTCTGTTAGTTGTTTCCAAATATGTGTTAAAAAAATGTAACTGTGAGAATTTTGATAATCCATGACCACTAATTGATACTGTTGCAATTTACAATATCAAATTCCTAAATTAAGTATTTTTTTTTCTAGTATCAAACCGGGTGGGAAATTTAAGAAAAAAAAAACTTGATATATAGGTGACGTTTGTACCAAGCAAAATCTACTATAATAAGCTACTTGTTATAAAAGAACTAAAAGTAACAAACTAAAAAGAAGAACAATAGAGAGAGTAATGTACTGTATTTTTCACTTCATTCGTTGTATCATTCAAATGAAGTACAAAGCCTTTATATAGGCAATGTAAATTGGGCAGTGAACGGATGACACAAGCCATCCACTACTTTGCACAAGTTGTGCACAATTTCCACAATTTCAACACTCCAATACATATACTATCCACATACCATATTGTGACATCCACATGTTCACAACACTCCCCCTTGGATGTCTATGCCTAACTAAAGAAACTTTAGGGAAGGAAAATGAGTACATATATCTTTAAATACGCATTTGCTTGTTGCCTCATTAAAAACCTTGTTAGGAAAACCCAATGGGACAAAACCTAGACTAAGGAAAAAAGTGTACAACGCGTATTCTACTCCCCCTGATGAAGACTATGATTTATATTGTTTAGTCTTCGCATTCCAATTTTGTGTACCATTTTCTCAAGAGTTGAGGCTGGTAAAGATTTGGTGAATAAATCTGCTGGATTATCACTTGAACGGATTTGTTGTACATCAATATCACCATTCTTCTGGAGATCATGTGTGAAGCATAATTTTGGTGAAATGTGCTTCGTTCTATCTCCTTTTATGAAGCCTACTCTTAATTGAGCTATGCATGCAACATTGTCTTCAAAGAGCACCATGGGTACCTTGACATCACACTTCAAACCACATCTTTCTTTGATGAAATGTATCACTGATCTCAACCATACACATTCTCTACTTGATTCATGAATTGCTATTATCTCAGCATGATTTGAAGAAGTAGCGACAATGGACTGCTTCATAGATCGCCATGATATAGCAGTACCTCCGTATGTGAATAGATAGCCTGTTTGAGATTGAGCTTTATGTGGGTCAGATAAATAACCTGGCATCTGTATGACCAACAAGATCTGCACTATCTTTGTTAGTATAAAACAGACCCATATCACTAGTCCTCTTTAGATATTGCAATATATGTTTAACTCCATTCCAATGTCTTCGCGTAGGGGAAGAACTATATCTTGCTAATAAATAAATTAACAAAAAATGCTATGTCAGGTCTCTTAGCATTAGCAAGTTACATAAGTGCGCCAATTGCACTAAGATAAGGTACTTCAGGACCAAGAGGTTCCTCATTCTCTTCTTGAGGTCGGAATGGGTCTTCACTCACTTCAAGTGATCGGACAACCATTGGAGTACTTAATGGATGTGATTTTTCCATGTAAAATCGTTTCAAGATTTTCTCAGTGTAGGCAGATTGATGGATGAAGACCCCGTCTGCTAAATGTTCTATTTGTAGACCAAGCTAAAGTTTTGTCTTTCCAAGGTCTTTCATCTCAAATTCTTTCTTTAGATATTCAATTGTCTTTTGGACCTCTTCTGGAGTTCCAATGAGATTAATGTCATCAACATAAACAACAAGAATAGCAAACCCAGATGTTGTTTTCTTAATAAAAATACAAGGACAAATGGCATCGTTTATATAATCTTGTTTTATCAAGTACTCATTGAGGCGATTATACCACATGCGCCCTGATTGTTTTAATTTGTATAATGACTTTTGTAATCTAATTGATTTTGAAATATATGCTTCAGGCATTTTAAGTCCTTTCGAAATTCTCATATAAATTTTATTATCAAGTGAACCGTAAAGATAAGCTGTAACCACATCCATTAGATGTATTTTAAGATTTTCATGTACAGCTAAACCGACGAGATATCAAAAAGTTATTGCATCCATAACCGGTGAATATGTTTCTTCATAGTCGACACTGGGTCGTTGAGAGAATCCATGTGCAATAAGGCGTGCCTTGTATCTTACAATTTCATTTCTCTCATTTATTTTTCGTACAAAGACCTATTTATAGCCAACCGATTATACACTATTTGGGGTTTGAACTACAGGTCCAAAAACCTCACATTTAGCAAGTGAGTCTAATTCTGATTGAATTGCCTCTTTCCATTTTGGCCAATCACATCTTCGTAGACATTCTTCGACAGATAAGGGTTCAAGATCCTCACTGTCTCGCATAATGTTAAGTGCAATGTTATATGCAAAAATATTATCCACTATAATATTTGATCGATCTAAATTTATCCCATTACCCGTAGAACTTATTGAAAGTTCTTCATTCACTTGAGTCTCGGGTTCACTGATATCTTCAGGAATATCAGGATTAATCAAATCTTGAATCTCTTCGTGGGATTCTTTTGTAGTGTCATTTTTCGTACTTATTTTTCTAGGATATTTATCCTTTGAACCCAATGGTCCACCACGCTTCAGGCGTGTTTGTGATTCATAAGCCATGACACTTGTAGGTGGTCCTTTTGGGACGTCAATCCGGATAGGCACATTCACTGCAGGAATATGTGACTTTGTTATCGTTTTCAAATCAGTAAATGCGTCTGGCATATGATTTGCTATGTTTTGCAAATGGATGATCTTCTGGACCTCCTGTTCACACATAGGGGAACGTGGATCAAAATGAGATAATGATGAAACTTTCCATGCAATTTCATTTTTAAGTTCCTTTTTCTCTCCTCCTAATTGCGAAAAACTTGTTTCATCAAATCGACAATCTGCAAATCTTGTAGTGAATAAATCTCCCTTCAATGGCTCAAGGTAGCGAATTATGGAGGGTGAATCAAACCCAACATATATGCCTAACCTTCTTTGGGGGCCCATCTTAGTGCGCTAAGGTGGTGCTACTGACACATATACAACACACCCAAAAAATCGTAGATGATCAATATTTGGTTCATGACCAAATACTAATTGTGACGGAAAGTATTTATTATAATGAGTCGGTCTGAGACGAACAAGTGATGCTGCATGTAAGATAGCATGACCCCAAACAATAGTGGGAAACTTAGTTTTCATAAGTAGAGGTCTTGCTATTAATTGTAAGGGCTTAATAACTGACTCAGTAAGGCCATTTTGAGTATGAACATGAGCTACATGATGTTCAACTTTTATCCCTATTGATAAGTAATAATCATCAAAAGCTTGGGATGTGAATTCTCCAGCATTATCAAGGCGAATTTCCTTAATGGGATAATGTGGGAATTGCGCTCTTAATCGTATCATTTGTGTCAATAATTTTGCAAACGCCAGGTTGCGAGATGATAAGAGGCACACATGAAACCATCTTGAAGATGCATCTATTAGGACTATAAAATATCTAAACAACCCACTAGATAGGTGAATAGGTCCACATATATCCCCATGTATACGTTCTAAAAATTGAGGGGATTCAATGTTAACCTTCATTGGTGATGGCCTAGTAATCAATTTGCCTTGACAACAAGCAGCACATGAAAACTCATCATTTGTAAGAATCTCCAGGTTCTTTAATGAATGTCCATTTGAATTTTTAATGATTCGTCTCATCATTATTAATCCAGGATGACCTATTCAGTCATGCCAAAGCACAAAAATTTTTAAGTCAGTAAACTTCTGGTTTATGATAGAGTGTGCTTCAACTATACTTATTTTTGCATAATAAAAGTTGATAATTTCTCCAACACATATTTCTGGCCTGAGACAATCTTGGTAATACCAAGGTATTCAACATTCATTTCATTTATTGTCTCAGCATGATATTCATTTCGGCGAATATCTTTAAAACTTAACAGGTTTCTTGGGGATTTAGAAGAGAACAATGCATCTTCTATAATACGTTTTGTCCCCTTAGGCAAAACTATAGTAGCTCTTCCGGAGCCTTCAATTAAGTTCGAATTACCAGAAATTGTAGTAACATTTGCTTTCCTTCTAAGCAAGTAAGAAAATTATTTCTCATAATTGAATATGGCATGCGTTGTTCCACTATCAATTACACAAATATCTTCATGATCATTGATCCGAACAAAATTTGAGAGGTATCCATATATTCTTCAAGATAAAAGATATAAACGAAGTAAACATTATAATATTATTACTAAAAAACATTACACAACTTTTTATTTATTTATAAGACTAGGAAAACATATCCATACTAGTTCATACAAATGACAGACGTGAAATATATTTACATTATTATAGACCCATCACCTATCAGGTGATCTATTTTTCCTTCAGGATTCTCAAAGAAATTCGCTACATCTAGATGCATGGGTTCAACATTATCTTCACAGATAAAGTTGGTTTCTGCGTTATTTTTCACCTCCTTCAGGGAAGCTTGATACAGCTCAACCAGGTGCCTTGGCGTACGACAAGTATGTGACCAATGCCCTTTTCCATCACATTGATAACATTTGTTGTCTGAATTTTTCTTCTGCACCACTTCATGCTTTTCATCATTCTTTTTACACTGCTGGTGGTGAATGTTATTATTTAGTGCTCGACGATCACCATGATTGAAATTTCTTCCTCGACCACGGCCACGGCCATGACCTTTTCCACGCTTAGATTGGCGACAATTTGCCGTATTTACTTCAGGAAATGGCATAGAATCAGTAGGTCGACTTTCATGAGTTTTCATCAGTAAGTCATTATGTTGTTCAACAACAACGAGATGTGAAATTAATTCTAAATATTTTTTAAATCCCATTTCTCAGTATTGCTGCTGCAGGAGCATACTCGAGGTAGGAAAACTGAAAAATGTTTTCTCCAGCATATCATGGTTAGTGTTATTTTCTCCGAATAATTCTAATTGTGAGATGATTTTAAACATGGAAGAGTTATACTCACTATAGATTTAAAATCTTGAAGTCTCAAATGGATCTAGTCATAACGTGCTTGTGGAAGGACGACCAACTTCAGCTGGTCATATCTATCTTTTAAATTATTCCACAACACCTGAGGATCTTTAACAGTGAGATATTCCATTTTTAAACCCTCATCAAGGTAATGACGGAGAAATATCATTGCCTTAGCACAATTTTGATTCGATGCCTGATTTTTTTCTTGGATGGTGTCTGCTAGACCCATCACATCAAGATGAATTTCTGCATCAAGTACCCATGATAGATAGCCTTTTCCCGATATGTCTAAAGCAAGAAATTCAAGTTTAAAAAAATTTGACATTATTTAAGAAAAGAAAATTTATACCTTCGAGGCTTTTAAAGTCTTTACTTAAACTGGTAGAGACTCGTGCTGATAAGGTGTTATAAAAGAACTAAAAGTAACAAACTAAAAAGAAGAACAATAGAGAGAGTAATGTACTATATTTTTCACTTCATTCGTTATATCATTCAAATGAAATACAAAGCCTTTATATAGGCAATGTAAATTGGTGAATGGCTGACACAAGCCATCCACTACTTTGCACAAGCTGTGCACAATTTCAACACTCCAATACACATACTATCCACATACCATATTGTGACATCCACACGTTCACAACACTACTATATTAATACAATGAAAAAAGGAAGTAACATTAATAAAATATGTATATTGATCATGTGTTCATTTTTTCTATCGAGATCAATTACTATCAAATTCTTGGATGTATATTATTAAGCTTCACAAATATTTATTTTTCTTCCTTGACAGAATTTTACTATCATAGTTCATTATATAGTACCATTTTCAATCATGAATTTTCTGATAACTTTTGAATGCTATATAAAATGCACATTAGTTATATTTTTTGCTGGACATAGAAAAATTCTTTCAAACTAGAAACACAATTATATTAGCGATTTTTTTTGTAAAGAAAATCAAGTGTAACTATATAATATTACACATGATGAAAGACCGGAGTTGCATTATCTATTTTTGCCATCTTGTTGATACTTTTATTTTGAACATTTTAAAAATTAAAATAGCAAGTGTTTTTTTAGAAAAGTTATGTTTAAATTAAGAAACATACAATCTATCTATCTATATCTATCTATAATTTCTATACTACCTTAAAAGCATGAATTCCCAAAAATGAATGTTGAATTACTATAATACCCCCAATTAAAAAATACACAATTTATTTATTTTTATTTAATTAATTACTTATATTATATTAAATATAGATACTTTTTCACATTATTAAAAGGTTGTGACTTTTTCGATGAATTGTGACTTTTTTGAAGGGTTGAAACTTTTGTGACGGGTTGTGACATTTCCGATCAGTTGTGACTTTTCAGAAGGGTTGTGATTTTTTCAAAGGGTTGTAACTTTTTCAAAGCATTGTGTCTTTTATGATAAGTTGTAATTTTTTCAAAAGGGTTGTGACTTTTCCGATGAGCAGTGCCTTTTTCGAAGGGTTGTGACTTTTCTGATAAGACACAATTAACACCTATTCAAGATACTATTTGTTAGCTATAAATAGAAGTGTTTCCTCTCACTTTTATACTACACTTTTTCAAGTTTTCTACTGTTCTTGTTCTTAAAAAATCTCAAGTGTTATTTGCAACAATTGATCAAGTTCGAAATTCAACGAAACTCAAGGTACTACATAAGAAAGAGTTGATGAATAAATTGTAGCAACTTATTCATCAATTCATACTTCTATTTTCCTCTTATGATTTTCATCACATACATACTTCAATATTATTTGTATCATTTTAGAATATAAATACACTTTTAATTAACCTATATATTTATTTATTAAAAAAAGACTTATTTCCTACGAATAGTCACAACAATTTCAACCTTCATCTTTCTTGGATCATAAATCACAACCATCCACTCTTTATAAATTCATGGGATCTCTTTTCTGTGACTATTTGAGATCACTTAATAGTTTTATAAATGATTCATCCATAATCCATTGTTATGTTTCGTTGATGCTCTTATCATTGAAATTTAGATATTGGCTTTCTATTCAAGAAGAGAAGAAGAAAACAAAGAAATGTGCAATTAACTGTGAACTTTGCTTCACACAGAAAACTTCTATAAATAGTGCAAGGGGTTTTTCATTTCATTTTATTGTTTTGATCCTTTAATTAATTTCTTTTGTGTTTCATTCTAGAGAGAACTTAATAATTTGTGTTCACATAATGAGTGAAAATTGACGAATACACACATCGTGGATTATTTTTTCTAAAAAATAAATTAATTGATCAAGTTATGGGAGAGACAATAGTAATAAAAACAATACGAAAAAGGGCACAAGATTGAGGTAAGATATTGTCACACCCCGAGCCTACATCCTGGGTGGGACCGGCACGCTGGCCCTAAGCGAACCCTTGGCCTGGCATACTTAACTCAGCGAAAGACTTAATTCAAATAAACAGTCTCAAATAACAACTTAAAGAATAATAAACTGGCCAAAATGGCACTTAAGTCATTAAACAACATCTGAAGGATAAAGAAAGACATCTGCACTAATAACTATCTGACTGTCTATGAAGCCTCTAAAATACTGAGATGGATGTTTGGACAAACCCCACAATATCCTAATAAATGAAAGACTGAAAGCGAATAGAAGAGTCCTCCGGAATGCAATGAGGCTCACCACTGACTCTGAGCTGCTCAACTGGATCAACGATGCGCTGAAATGCCGATCCTAGTTACCTGTGTCTGCATCATAAGACGATGCAAGTCAACTGGCATCAGTACATTGAATGTACGAGTTTGCGAGTTGGAATGCTAAAACAACATAGGCATGAAAGAATCTGAAAGAAACTGAAGAACTTACCTAGCTCAACTCAACTCAACTCAACCTGAGTGAACTCGTTTCAATATAAAGCAATTTAAAACAAGTGCAATATAAAGAAAAGTTGTTTAAAAATATTATATTAACTCTGTGTGTATGCAAAGACACAAATGACTCTGAGAAGTATATAAAAATATAATAAACTGATGTATATAAAATTACATTAATTTCTGTGGGAATTTCTCTAACCGACAACCATCACATAAGAGCTATAGTAATGATACAACGATCTACCTCACGCTGCCAGCGCATCCTATACCCGGCCAAAGGTATAGAACGTGAACTGCCTAATGGATCCACTAGTCTATTGCGAAAAGGATTCATCTAAAAAGTATGACCCTTTTCTACCCATGGTGGCTACATGGTTCTATGGTGACGTGAGTTATCTGAACTCATGCTCGTCCCCAATTCGGTGCTCAATACTACTCCCAAAATATAACTAGCTCATATGT